ACATATAATGAATGCAATATTATCCAGCCTTAAAAGAGAATGAAATTCTGATACATACTACAACATGAATGAACCTTGAAGACCTGATATGTGAAATAAGCCAAGTATGAAAAGGTAAATACGATATGATTCCTTTTATATGAGATACCTAGAACAGTTAAATTCATAGACAGAAAGTAAAACTTTGGCTACTGAGCCAGAGGATGTGGGGAGTTACTGCTTAATGCATACAGAATTTCAGTATGGGGTGGTCAAAAAAAGTTCTGGAGATGGGTAGTGGTAATAGTTGTACAATAATTTATTTTTTCAGTGGTTCTTTAGGTTTTGAACTTATTTATGTCTTGTCTTTTATGCTTAAATGTTGATGGTTTAGTGGCTTCATTAGCCAGTCTATCTCTGTAAAATGAGATGATATGGTTTTAGCATTTCATCATTAATTATGGTTAAAAAAACAAACTCATTGTGCCCTTGACCGGAATTGAACCCAGGACCCTCCAGTCTGCAGGCCGACACTCTATCCAGTGAGCCAAACCAGCTATTCTTTATTATTTAAGTCACTTCCATGGTCACATCTAGTTTATTACTACTACTGCCACATTCAGAAAAGGTGTGCCTTTTCCCAACAAAACTCTTACAACTCAATAATAAAATGACAACCCAAAGGATCTGATCATACGTTGGACAAAGAAGATATACAAATGGTCAATAAGCACATGAAAAGATGCTCAACATCATCAGCCATTAGGGATATAAAAAATCAAAACCCTAATAAGATACAATTTCACATCCACAAGGTTGTGAAATAAATGAAACAGATAAGTGCTGGTAATGATGTACAGAAATTGGAAATTTTTGTTGGTGAAAACAGCCACTCTGGAAAATAGTCTGGCAGTTATTCAAAAGGCCAGAGAATTACCATGTGACCCAGCAATTCCATTCCATACAAGAGAAATGCATATCGATGTCAGAGAAACACACTGATTGGTTGCCTCCTGTTGCGCCCCGACCAGGCCCTGGACTGGGGAGGAGTGTGCCTTTGACCAAAATCGAAGTGGGGACCCGTTGGTCCGCAGGCCGATGCTCTAGCCATTGAGCCAAACCGGCTAGGGCTCCTTTTATTTTTTACATGAGAATGTCAATAGGATTTCAGGCATTGTGGTGCAAACATGGTGTTCGGTTACCATCTTAAACTGGAATCTCCCTATCTAAATCTTAAATAAAGAGTTCACACACTTCCTTAGAACCCGAGCTCTTTGAAACACCAACACCCCCTTTCTAAATTACACCAAATTTCACCACAGGATGTGGACTACGTAGGAAGCATTCCTTACCAAATAAAACCAAATTGAGAAAGAAAAGAAAAAAAACAACTACTAATATAGTATACTTTGAAAAGCATGTTACATTTTACTAATAGTTTCATTTCAAGTATCCAAATAAATTGTGCCCAAAGAATAAAGGAAAAGTATCTATGCTCTGGCCGGGTAGCTCAGGTGGTTGGAGCATGGCCCCGATACACCAAGGTTGTGGGTTCCACCCCTGATCAGAGCATATGCAAGAGTCAACCAACGAAGGCATCAGTGAGTGGAATAACAGGTTGATGTTTGTCGCTCCTTCCCTTCTTATCTTTCTCTAAAATTAATAAATTAAAAAAGAAAAAGTTATTTATCTTTCTAGGCACTTAACTGGAATCCATAACCACTATCTTTTTATAATTTCCAATAATTTATTTTTATTTTAAAAAGTAATATAAAACTAAAACTTGTAATATAAAACAGTATACGCCAGGATAATTTTATTGTATCTACTAAAAACTTTATTTCTCATTAAAATGAGTCAACCAGAACATTTACATCAACAAGATAATTTAGTAAATTGATAAAATAATTTAGAAAAAACACACACTCATGTTCCTGTAAGTATGCATCCATTGTGTATGTGTTGGGGGTGGGGATGGGGATTTGAGATGGGAACTAAATGTTTATTCCTTATGGACCTTCTCTCCCTCCTGGGGTATGTCATAGAGGCCTGACCATTTACATGTGGATGCACTACTTATAAAATAGATTTAATGATATTAATCATTCAGATAACTAATAAACTTTTTGAACTTCATTGGTCTAAAACAAAATTCAATCCCTCCCCAAACCTACTCCTAGCAACAATAAATGTAAATGGCATCAATATTCACCCAGCTGTTCGTCCAAAACAACCAAGAGCCATCCTTTATTGCCCCTTTCCTTCATTCAATCTATCAATAAATCCTGTTGGTTCTACCTCCAAAATTAATTCATTTTTTCCCCATCTCCGCTGCCAAGCCACCGCCCCTGCATTAGCTTTGAACTGATTCCCCAGCTTCTGTTCAGGTCTCCTTAGAATCCATTTCCTGCTCAGAAGCCAGTGTAAATTAGCATGTCATTGCCCTTCTTAAAATAAAAACAAATTCCTTACTGAGACCTATAAGGCCTTTTATGATCTGACCCCTGCCTACTTCTTCACCCTCATCTCATCATTTTGCCTTTCTTACTATCTCCAAGCCACTCTGCTTCCCCAAATACTCCAGCCTGGTTCCTCATTTAGCTCTGCATTTGCCATTCATTCTGCCCTGAATCCCTGGCTCCCCACCACGACTAGGCTAGCTACATGCCTGACTTCTCTGCATTCAAATGTTACCTCCTTGGAGAGGCCTGCTCTAAGACAGCCACCATCCTGCCAATAATCCACAAAGCCCCTTCTTATTTTTTTTCATGCCACCTATCACAGTCTAAAATGATATCTGTTTATTGAACACCTCCATATCAACTCTTTAAGGGCAGAGACATCTCTCTTGTTTATTATTCTCTCCAATGCCTAGAACACAGCAATAGTTAACAGATCTTCAACATATTTGTTGCATGAACAACTCCATCAACATCACTGAAGTAGTACAAATGTTCACTATACAGATTTTGATTATTACTAGTGTATTATAGAGTTTAAATTATATTGGTTTATTATAAATAAACATTTTAACTGAATTCCAACAGAAAAAAGATATTAAGAACTTTCCTCCCCCAGTAGAAGTCCTGAAGTGAAAGCAGACCTATTTGGGAAAGAGATTTAGGAGACATCATCAGATTCTGTCCAAAGATAAAAAGAGAAAGTGAACAAACATCTTCCAGGATCAAAACCCCAGGCAAGACCAGAAAGAGGGTTTTCATAGCTCCTTCTGCAAGCTCTGTGCAAAGATCTCCAGTGGATGAGAATACAGGGAAAAACTAAAGAGAATATCTCAATGGATCCTTCACCCACCAAACAAGATTTCTTCAGAAACTGACTTGCTTCTGCAAATGGCCTTAACCAAGAAAAACAGTTGTGTAAAACAGACCTAAAATTGTACTGTCAAGTAATAAGATGAGGATAGGAAGCTTGTATAGCCCAGCTGGCGTGGCTCAGTGGTTGAGCATCAAACCCGGAGGTCACGGGGTTTGATTCCTGGTCAGGGCACATGCCCGGGTTGCAGGCTTGAGCCCCAGTGTGGGGCATGTGGGGGGCGGCCAATCAATGATTCTCTCTCATCACTGATGTTTCTATCTCTCTCTCCCTCTCCTTTCCTCTCTGAGATCAATAAAAAAAAAAAATATTTTAAAAGTCATTTCAGTCCGGCAGGCATGGCTCAGTGGTTGAAAGTTAACCTGTGAACCAGGAGGTCAGCGTT